TGTCTCTTACCAAAGAATGACCCCCTGTGCATGTTACTAATCACTCAAGCTCATGAATATACGTTGCATGGTGGCGTCCAAGCGACACTCAACTTTGTAAGAAGGCGCTACTGGATGGTTGATGCTCGTTCAGCGATCAAACGCTTTATTCGTCGCTGTGTGAGATGTGTTCGCCAGATTGGCGTTCCAGCATACCAAATCATGGGGAGCCTTCCCACTCAACGCTGCAACGTGGCAAAGGCGTTTAGTCACTGTGGCCTCGATTACGGTGGGCCCTATCAAATTCGCACCACCAAAGGTAGGGGCAATCACAGCTACAAGGGATATGTTGCCCTTTTTGTAGGCTTCAGCACCAGAGCAATTCATTTAGAATTAGTCAGCGACTTAAGCACAGCAACTTTCATCGCAGCACTTCGACGTTTTTTTTTCTGTAAGAGGCTATAGTTCGGACATATACAGCGACTGTGCAACAACGTTTGTAGGTGCCCATGCGGAGCTGAAGGCAGATCTCGACGCGTTCCGACAACAGCTTGACGCAGCGGCACAGTATGTGACATCTCATGGAATATCGTAGCACTTTATCCCGCCTGGGTCTCCTAATTTCGGAGGCATCTGGGAGGCGGGTATTAAGAGCATGAAGCATCATTTAAAGCGAATCATTGGAACCGCAACGCTCACGTTCGAAGAGTTTTACACCGTGCATAAACAGGTTGAGGCGGTGCTTAATTCCAGGCCGATATCCGCTTTGACGGATGATGCAACCGACTTTGCTGCTCTTACTCCGGGCCACTTTTTGGTGGGCGGCCCGTTAATTGCCGTCCCTGACCAACACTGCTTGATGTCAACACAAACCGCCTTAAAAGATGGAGACAGTTGCAGCAAATGCATCAGAACTTTTGGAGTCGATGGAGCTGTGAGTATCTGCGCGAGTTACAAGTCCGGCGCAAGTGGCGTCAAACAAGTGCCAACCTATCACCCGGCGACTTGGTCTTAGTACGCGACGAGCGCGCTCCACCAACCCAATGGATGTTGGGTCGCATAATTGAAGTGCACCCAGGAGCTGATGACTTAGTCAGAGTTCCTACTATTCGTACG